GGGTAGTCATTAACTTAGAACATTCTGCATGTCGTTTCCACATTTGCTCATCACTTTCAGGGGTTGGCAATAAAACTTGTCTTGTGTTTTGACTTTAGATTAACTCTGAGGATGATTGCGGTGTGCTGAAAGGGAATTGGACTGGTGACTTCAAACAGGGTGTCAGTCCCTCAAAGTGGACAGGAAGTGGGGACATCTTGAGACTGTGGGTCAAGTCTGGTTACAGCCCAGTCAAGTATGGACAGTGCTGGGTGTTTGCAGCAGTCATGTGCACAGGTAATTATACCCAGTTGATAAAAAAAAAGGACCTTCACATATGCTGTCTTTGGACAAGAATGTTAAATATTTTTGCCTGTCGGTAAACGTTTATGTTTTTATTACATCTTTCAGTCATGAGAGTTCTCGGCATTCCTTCCCGTGTCATCACAAACTTCAACTCCGCTCACGACACCAACGCCAACCTGGTGATTGAAGAGTACTACAGCGAAACAGGGCAGAAGCTGAACCGCAGCAATGACAGCATATGGTCAGTTGTGATCAACATCTGGATATGAGTAGGAGTCCTTGCTTATCATTCTAAATTTTTTTAATTAACCACCATATTGTTGGACTTTTTGAATAGGAACTTTCATGTGTGGGTGGAGTGCTGGATGAGGCGCAGTGATCTTGAGCCAAAGATGGATGGCTGGCAGGTTCTTGATCCAACCCCACAGGAGAGGAGTGGAGGTGTGTGAGAAGTTTTGCTTTGTATTTATTTTATTTTTTTTATTTTTTTTCTGTGTTAAGGCTTTTTGAACTTTTACTTGAACTTTTCTTATTTATCTTCCCTGTGTAGGAGTGTTTTGCTGTGGACCAGCTCCAGTCAAAGGGATCAGGAATCAGCGTACAGACCTGATTTATGACATCCCATTTGTCTATGCTGCAGTAAACGCTGATGTGCACACAATCATCTTGTCAAGTCATGACCAGGTGGTCGGCTTCAGCAAAGACACCGAGAGAATCGGATCCCTAATCTGCACTAAAGCCATCGGCTATCCTAGAGTGCAGAACATCACAGGAGACTACAAATGGATAAAAAGTAGGAATCCCAAACAAAACATTCAAGTACATTTCCACCGAAGCTAATCTTGTGAAACAGAATGATTCTTATCTACCTCTTTATTGCACTCTTTTACAAAACAGGTCCTACGTCAACACTTTCATCACAAAGCTCCACAATATCAGATGACTCAACACTGCGCAGAGGTACATTGTAATTCTAGAGATTTCATTAGAGCTTAAAGTTAATTCTTTGAGGAAAACATCTCAATTCACACTGGTTTTCTTCATTTTTTTAGCTACTGCATCCAAGGGAGTGATTGTCTTCTTGACACTGGCTAAACATCCTGTTGCTGGGGAACCAATCGTCTGCCTGGTGAAAATTATGAACAAGCAGAAAATACCAAAGATGATGAAAGTGCATTTGAATGCTCAGGCAAAAGAGTACAACCACAGCCCCTCCGAAACCTTCTGGGAAAAACACGGTGTCATACAGCTGGCACCAATGGAAGGTAAATAGTCTGCTGGTCCCATCTACACATTTTGTCGCCCCTAAAATTGTACATTCTATTAATATTTAAGTTTCATAGTCAAAGTTGTAAAAATAAAATTAAGGGAAAAAAATTAAAGTAGTTTTTTACTGAAGAAAAGCTCCACTTCACAGCTCATCGTAAAGCTCTAAATTTGCTTCATATTTCCCTTGTGAACAGTATCAAAATCTGATTATCGCTGCATGTTGTTCCACATTATGCGAACCACGTTTCTAATCTGTCGTGGATACATTTGCTGGTTATTTTTACACACCCTCATAATTTCTTTGGCTTCTCCCTTTTTCCAGTTAAAGTCATCGAGGAGCATATCCTTCCAACGCAGTATGAACACGTTGTGGGAGATGACCTCATCAACCTGGCAGTTGTCCTGGAGGACATGGCCACCAGTGAACGGGTGCTTGCCTCCGAGGAGTTCAACATCGCCACCTCAGGCCTCACTATCCAGGTACTTATAATGTTCCCATCAAACACTTTGGCTTTTCAAAACCCTGAAGTTGCAGGGTACATTTTTGGTGAATTTTCTGGGTTTACCTACGGTTTATTTTCATGCAGGTCACAGAGGAAAATTCCATTGTGTCAAACAAAGAGCTCACTGCCTCCGTGACTTTCACCAACCCGTTTTCTCACCCAGTCAGTGGATTATTGACTGTGGCTGGGGCCGGGCTAATTGGTGACAAAGAGCAATTCAGGTAGGATTCTGGTTTTGTTATTTTAATGACTTGGTCATATGATGAATGCTTAACCTCACATCCTTGGCAGTGCATTATAATTTTAACAAAAGAGAGAATGTCGCACAAAGGAGTGTCACTGATAACTACATTACATAATTGCGTGTCAATTCTGAAGGAATGTGGGTGTGACTAATGTCTGAAAGAAGTCATAGAGAACAATATGCCAAAAATAAAAGATCCAAGCATTATAATCTTCTGGTTTTAAACGTTTCCAAGCCATGTATTTAATACGGTGTTTCTTGTCTTTTTGCAGGATGCCCTCACTTCGTCCAGGAGGAAAAGCAACCCAGTCCATAACCTTAAAACCGAGCATGGCAGGTGTAAAGATGCTGCAAGCCAGTCTGTCGCTTTCAGACACAAACATCACAATCAGAAGCTTCAAGATGATCTCTGTAAACAGTATTTAACTTGTGCAAAACTTCCCACTTGTTTGTGTATTATAGGGAATGAATATGATGTAAATATTATTTATTTGACTATTTATTTTTATTTTTTTTGCTATTTATGTATTTGTGGAATGTTAATAATGATGTGTGAAAAATTATTTTAGACTTACAACTTTGAAGTGAGATTTTTGTAACATTTGATGCAGTTGAATAAATAAATTTTATGAAATATATGGAACATGTATTGTATTTATTCTGAAAAACATACACTAAAAGAGTACTGGTAGTTACCCTGTTGTAACTCATTTTTTGCCCTAAAGAGGGAGACATTTCCTAAATGACTAAACTGGTCATAAGGTACAGGGTCAGTAATGCTTGTAATCTGCATTGCAACAATAAACATTTGCTGTTGTGACCTCTACCATCTTTATACCGATTGCTAACCTTTCTAGAACATTGTCATAAAAGTTTTTTCTTGTTATAAAAAGAATAATGCTGACATTTAAAATGCAGAATGTTAAAATGTTTCCAGTCTGCTAGAAAACTTTAAGCCAAAGCAGGATATCATACAAATCTATAAAATCCTGAATGTTATTTAGTAATACTTTTTGTGCAACCCATCTGGTAATGAAACACGTTATAGTTAGAAATCTGAATTCCATAATTATTATTTTGAAAAAACAGTCGCATCCTCGTCACAGCAATTCCCATCAGTCACACACAGGGCGGCATTTACAATGACTATTTATAGGAGAAAGGAGTGTTAAACAACATGGCTCAGTTACAAAAATGATAAATGATTGATTTATCAATGTATTACATCAAATCAGAGTTTCTGTACAACTCCTGCTGAGAGGACTTCTGTAATCGTTTATATTTGTGATTTAATAAAAAAAACATTTTTATTTGCTACATATTAGCATTTTGATTGTGGAGGAAAGGACTGTTAAACTATTTGGGAACTATCCATCAAGCAACAGATACAATTATCTATTCAATTAGGCTTTATTTGAACACAGTGGCATAGAGGAAATTGCTTTTGCAGATTTAATAGAGAGAATGAAAAATCTCAGGAGCCATTTTGTGTTGTGTAGGAACATTTAAAAATGAACATGTTTAATTGTATTAGAAATTAAACGCTGAAACCACACATTTACATGTATTACAGAAAATATGAAACTTTTTAATCACCATTTCTGGTTTTTCTCAGAATTACTGTAAACAAACTGTAAATAACAAAATGCCAGATTCATGAGTGATATTTATTTATTTATTTATTTATTTATTGCAAAGTTTGTTTCCATGTTTTTGCACCATGTTCATCTCTCGAACACACTAATTTTATTTTGGATTTTGAAATAACTTTAATTTTAAACAACTTTGATTTTTTTTTTTTCATTTGAAAAATACTCAATTTTACACAGAGCATGCAAATATCTTATTTTAACTGTATATACAAATACATCTAGTAAAAGTGGAATTTTTCATGCCAGTCATCTCAGAACATGAAACAGCCATTTTACAAATAGAATAAAATATCTCAAGCTTCAATTATTTTTTGTACTATTTTAGTGATTACAAGTAAAGAAGACCCAAAATGCTGCATCTTAGAATATTAGAAAATTGCATCAGACAAATTCAAATCGGATGTTTAAATATGAATGCTAAAATGCATAGATACAAAACACTGTGAGCAATCAGTGTCTTCAGAAATTACCTTTGGTGGTTTACCATCCTTTTGAAGGTTGTCAATGACCGTCTGTCTTCTGGACATCCGTCCGGTCAGCAGTCCTCCCCATGATGGTGTATTTGCCCAAAGTTAGACTTTAAGGGACTTTAATTAGTTGATTAGGGTGTGATGCCACTCTTTTCCAATAATGTCCGTTTTCACAGTATTCTAATTTTCTGAGATAGTGAAATTTGAGTTTTCATTATCAGGAAGTCATAATCACCAAAAGTACAAGATGATTCTATGTAATATGAACTTCACTTTCTGAGATGACTGGCATGAGATATTGCACTTTTATTCAATATTGTATTTTTCTCAGATGTACTTGTATTTTGAATGGCGTTAAACATATTGTGCTTTGAACGTAATTGGAATAGACTGAGTTGTTCAGTTGTCAGTCAGAACTATGAAAACTAGAACAAAGCTGTGATTAATGCATCTCTACTTTGCATAAATTTAATAAAAAATGTAATTTACACCATCATCGATTATTTTTCTATACCCTTATTGTTTTGTTTATCCCTTTATAGAGCAGTTTTGTGTAAAAAAGATGAAATTCCAACTCTATGATCCCCCAAAATGCAATTAATTTATTTTTTTAAATCATTTCTACTTAAATTGTCAGAAGAAATGGACAATAAGGCATTATATACAAACCATGACTAAGCTCGCAGGCTTTGTAATCAGCACATGCACAACCATAGCCATAACAGTTTATCTACAGGTTAATGGGAAATTAAAGCAGAAAGGAAATCAATCTACAACCCAAAATCAAATGTAAGTTTTCAAGCACCAGTCTAAAACACAGCATCTGCATGGCAACATCTTACACGACGTTTTTACAAGAACATAGCTGTAGCCTTAATAAATGATTTTGTTTACACACACGCACAAACTGTCATACTAACTTACTGTGTTGTAAATTTAAACCCATAATAAATAACCATCATTCTGGTGACAAATCACAGACCATGTCTAAATATAAGAAAAACTATGATTTAACATGACATGTCATGAATTAACATCAATTTTAGTGGAAGTAAGCAGTTGTGTATTGCATAAAGTTTTCTTGGTCTAAAAATAGTATTGTCCAGAGGAATGATTTCTCCACATAGCAGTAAAAGCTTGAAGAATCTAAACATTTCATCTGTGTTGATTCTAACATTGAGTTCATGAAACAGAAAGTCAGAATTTGCATTCAGTGCAACAATTGGGACACAAATCCAAGAACTTGAGATGAAGTCAAAAAAAAAAAGAACAAAAAAAAGTTGCTTTTCATATTTTGTTTAATACTTGCAGTACTAACCATGGTTCCCTGGGATTAGTTAAGCTTTGGTCCCTTTTTTTCTTCCACACAGTTTGATTGAAGCCCTTTTGACTTCATGTCTGCGTCCTTTTATGCACTATGCTTCAAACTCTTTACTCTTCCACACGCCTGATGTTAATGTCTCTGCTGCGGTGCTCAGCAATATTGACTCCACATTAGTCCCAACAGGCTGGTTCACAAATGCACTCAGAAATTAAAGAGCACAGATGTTGGTAGCTGCTGCCCTCTAGAGGTAGTCCATCTCCAGTGCATGGCTCAAAGCCTCCAGATCTGCCCGACAAGACACCCTCCAGAACGGCATGTTCTTCTATTTACACAAACAAAACAGATTATTAGTATGTAAAAATATAGCAGATGTCTCTTAGTAGTAAGTGATACTTCTGCAAATGCAGAGTAGTTGTTAA